TGACGCGATTTTGAAGCCAGTAACGAGGTTCGAAATGACTCATGAGTTAATATGTTTACCTCCCATGACCGCCCCATGTGCGCATCGATCCCAAATTCACTTATTAATTCTGAAGTTATGCCTATTTGGTACAGGAGTTTATCGATTACGACATTCTGTCAACTTTCCTAACCCAGACAGCGTGCGATTTTCCTATGGATTGAAAAATGAGTGATCTGTCCCAACATTGGTCCCAACATTGCTCCGTTAAGGTGACAGCTACTGAACACACAGTCACTCTTAAAGAGACATAGAGAGAGAGAAATTTTCAGATTTTGTTACATCCCAGAGGATGCAGGAAAAGGAAGAACGGACGAGGAATGGTCAGATTCTAGTTCATCATCACCAAAGTGGTTGAAAACGATGCCACACACATGTGTATATAGACAAATTTACTACAGAACGCTCTGGGGATGCCTTTGAAATGCTCTCCTTCTACCAGTACTTTTAATAGGGCATCCTCGCGCTTCCATTGGCGGACATCCGATGTGAAATTAAGGGGCAAGAGTGGAAGAGAGAGAAAAAGGTGTTTATTTTTCGCATATTTGTTTGAATGAATGGCTGCATGCATGGAGCCGTGCATAAGCAGCAAGCACACACTTATGTGTATGAAAGCAAAATATTTTCTTGTTGTCTTATTACAGAATGCAAATCATGGGGCGACTATATGGCCCAATCGATAAATACGCGCGAAATCTGCACGAATTAGTGGACCATCTTTCTATCAGTCTAAAAATAGAAGATTTTGAGGAACCAAAGTAATTAATGTAAAAACAGGCTAACTGCCTCACTGAGAGTCTTCGAATTAAAGTTAATCTTTCAATTTTAGATTCCAGTGTGCTAAGTTGGAACATTCATAATAAATCTTCTAATTCCATATGCTTTGCGCGCTCAATTACTGTCGCATCTTCCTGTATCAACCTCATAATTTAAGTGCAAAAAACTTAGTATGCTTTGCACAATTAGAATGATGCTTGGAAACAGGTTTCGTAGATTTCAACAATATATTGATTTATGAACGGTGAGATGACCTCGGTGTCGAAATCAAAAGTCTGCATTGCAATACTTACTGAAGAGATGTCAGTTAGGATCATGATTAAAGCACACAGCTGTTACTCTTTGGGGGATGGTATTGATGCAAGAGATAATTTTATGTACGCAAGAGTCTACCGCAAATTTATAATTGGCAAAAGTCAGGTTACTTCTGTCAATTGCATTCCGCATCGATGTCCTATTGAAAACGATCTAATGATTTCCTTAGCCAATATTGAATGGGTGTTGGCAATTTCAAACCCGAACTGATAAATGGCCACTTGTACTTATAAACTACACGTTCTTTTAAATTTAGGGCGCACGATCGATACGTCTAATTTAACCGATTTCTGATAAAGTAATATGCACTTTATTACCACTTTTCTCACCTAATAAATTCTTGCAATTGATTTTGGAATTTAAAGTACCCTAGAAATTAATATTCGCCTTAGTGAACTAAAGCGAATATTGACGAGAAATTTGACTAACTTACCGAGTTGAATAAATTTTGCTCGCATCGATAAGGCTGCTTAATGGTAAAAGGAGCGCCAAGCATAATAAACTTTTCAGGTCATGACCCCGAGTATTTAATTAAGCCCTCTAGCTTCAATCGCGAATGACCTCATTTCTCATAAACTGTGGTCATAAAGAATTGCACGAATTTACTTATCCTTAATGATTAAATTCAGAATTTGGCAACAGTGAAAATCCAAAAAGTTTAATAAATTCGATAGGCATTTGTGGTAACAATTGATTCAATAGAAAACGTTTATTTGCGTCTAATTAATCAATTAATTAACGAATATAACGTTAAGGTGATCAACCCATACCATGCTTTAAATTGAAAAGAATTTGATGGTCTAATGGTTCCGAAATCTTGAGCATGTGGCATTCTCTTCATTATTTTTTTTAAGCGCCTAGTTCTACAACCCACCCTTGAAACGCGACAGATTTTATTCCTTTGTGTGTTTGAATGCCTCTTCATGAGTAAAAGGTGCTAGGCATTTTTGTATTTTACAATATGGTGGATACGTGTTGCACCCTGGGCAACGTAAACACATACGGCAAAAAGTCTATAAACCGGCAGTAAACTTGTCAATTCAACCTAGTATGATCCCACTGTATGTCATATTAGACCACTTCCGCAGTACTAACCTTACCCTTTTTTCTACCCTTATGTCTGTCTCTTTTGTATCTTTGAAGCTCTCTTCTGTTCCCCCGTTTCGAATTTTTCCCACTTTGATGTTCCTCCTCTCTGTGAATCCCGAAGTCAACTAAAGGGCTAATAATAACTGTTAAAATGCCTGCTATTTGATATAAATAAATACAATACAATACGGTGGTCAACTAAAAATCGGAGTGAACTTCCATGACTTGAATTAGTACTTCATCTGACTTTCAGTTCCGTTGTCTTTCCGGAAATGCCTCGTTAATAGGCGGAATTAATTCGCCTACAAGTCTTGCTTCTAAAAAAATATCCGAATTCCAATCCCTGGTTATGTAGTCTTCTTTGCATTTCCAACTTTATTCAGCAAAAGTTAACCAAATGGATGCATGAAGTAAAATTTTTGTGTAGTAGAAATTACTACCAGAATCGGGTTTTCTGTTTTCCTTTTTAAGTCAAATTTCAAAACTCTACTTCAGTGAGATAAAAGTATGCAACTGGTCTGATTTCTAGTCATCTCATGAAAAAGTTATGTGCATTCGAGTACTCGTGAGGATTTAGTGGGCTCTGATTGGATAGATGGTATGAAGACTCAATATCTGTTCAGGACCGAGGTGGTGACATGTACTTCCTATACTGTTGTTGTAGTCATGAAAATGCATTTGAAAACACGACGTGGTCAAGTAGTCCAGAAGAGAGGTCCATGTCGAAATGCCAAGGGCCTTATTTGACATCTGGTTCTATTGATTCGGTGGCATTTCAGAAAAAGATGTTATTTCCATTCGAGTGTGCAAAAATTTTTGAGACTTGCCTGGCATTCCAGTTTCGTTCGTTGTAGGAAATTTCTCCCTATAAGAACCTATTTACATAATGTCTACGTTTATGTATCCTTAAAACCTTTAGTTGAACAATTGGTCTTCGGGTCGCTTTAAGACTAGAGGGTCAGTGGAAATGGTCGCATTATTCTAGAACTTCGGAGATACGATCCTAAAATTCGAGCGATCCAAACTAATTGTGATGGCAATTGAACTTTTGATTTTGCTCATAGAATGCACTGAGATTTGATATTAATTTTTTAAAGTACCGAACTTGGCAAATAAGTTATTCACCCTTCTATGTGGATTGTACGAAAAATTTTAACACATTTAACGGACACATCTGCCCGACAAGACCATAATCTGAGACAAGTTGACAATTTAAGAAGTTGTGCGATTTATGTTAATCTGTCAGAATGACAGTGGAGCTTTGAGCGAAATTGCTGATATTAAGGCCAACACTAACAGTAAGAATATGCAACAAATTAATTAATTTCAGCTTATACATTGCCATCTATTCGCCTGACCTTAAGACACATAATTAGGAGATCTGGGTCATTGCCGAGCCCGCAATAAGTGACCCCACAATTAATTGCCGAGGCTAAGCTAATATTGCTCTTTTATGGAGGAAAGGCAGTACATCTCGGGTATCTTAATTAAAAGAACTTTCTGCGTCCAATACAAGCTTGTATCTACCGCAAAATTGAAAGAACACACAAGCAAGATCTACCATTGTCACAACAATTTAACTGCAAGGAGTTGCAAATGTAGGGCATTAAGGCACTCTGTTCAATAATCTCCACACGCACCAATCCCACCCCAGGCTATAACGACATAACACCCATTGACAAGGGGGACAGTCAGTTAGCTATCGATTAAATGGCAACTTCAATTGTGCCATAGCGCGCCAAGTTCTCACGCTAACAAACACGAAAGTGGGTCTTCGAGTCAGTATGTAGACATTCAAACGAGGCTAACGCCAAACCCAATCAACAACAACAACAAAATCAAAACACAAAATTATACCGGATTAAAAATACTATCGATAATACCGCCTATCTCACATTACTTAAGCTAAATATGTAAGAAAATACAAAATACAAGTTCTTCCTTGTAAATAGATAGGTATAAAAAATTGGACGGTGGTTGAGTGTCAAAGAGTGAGATAGGGACACTTGAGCATTCCATTTCTAGTAGGGTCGGATTCCTAAAAGGCAAGAAAAGAGGATTGCACATAAGAGAACGCTAACAAGTTGGAATGAGGCGCATTAACTTGAGTTCCATGCACAAATGTAAAGGGTGAAGATATATATATGTAAAATGATGGAGTAGAAGGCAAGAGGGATGAAAGCGAACATTGAGACAACGGTAGAGTAGCAATGGAAGGTACAGACGCAAATTACTAAAGTGGCTAGAAACACACGCGCACGCGCACACACAGACACACCCCGCAATAAAGAGAATAGGAGGAGGAGATGAGGAGGAAGGTCCTCACATTTATGCAACCAAAGAAAGCTAACAAAATGGCCCAAAACAGAGAGACGGCAGCACATTTAAAGAGGGAGAACAATGATGACGTGCAAAAAACACGTGTAGAATACTTAAAACACAATGAGAGGAACACTTAATAATATAAGGCTCCTTACTTATAGGAAATAAGCATTACTGGATCGACTTTTGAGTGAGGTAGTATGCAATCTTCAAACGCTTGGATAATTGGAACTCAATTTGTATATGTGTGTGTGTGTGGGGGAGGTGATTGTAAAAGAGAATGCAAGTATACAAAGTGGCATGAGTAGTAGATAAAAGGAAGTTAAAGCCTCGGCATTTTTTACTGCTGACAATTTACTAGAGGAATGAAGAAAAAAAGGAAGACTTGTTTTAGCAATCGAAATTTTTATAGGAAGTAAACATGCGTTGTGCATAATGATTGAATAGCAAGCGGATAATTAGCAATGGTTACCTTTCGACCGCTTCAACTGGACCTTCAGTCTCTTCTGACAAATCGCATAACCATTCATTTGACTGATGGCGTCACGAGCACTAATGGGGTTGTCATAGCTCACGAAACCTATATATATATATATACAAAGTGAAAAAAAATCGATTTCACCCAATCACAGACTTCAATAAGAGCCAGATAGTAATCAAAGAAAACTTACCGAAACATTTACTTTGGCCAGTGACACGATCAATATAGACCTTTGCGCTCAGAACATTTCCAAAGGGGGAAAAGAGATCAACTAGGTCAGAATCTGTTTTATCCTGAGGCAAGTGGTAAATGAAGAGATTGCAGCCTTCAGGTCCTGTAATCATTTGCTCACTATTTCCATTAGAATGATGGCTAACCCCTCCAAGATTAGAAATGCCAGCTGGAAAGAGAAACACCACTTGAACTCGAGCTTTTTTCCCCAGATAACCAATGCCCGAATGTTTAAGAAACTCACCTAAATTCAGGGCAGGAAAGACGGATGATCCACCACCAATTGACAGTTGGGCAACTAAAGTGGATAGACACGTGATATCGAGTTCGTATCAAGCGTACCGATTTATGTGTCCGCAACTTACGGTGTCCATTGGCTGCCAGAGGCGTACCGGGGGCAGAAGGAAACAGAGGAAAGGCGGGAAAAGGAGCTGCGTATTGAGAGACGATGGATTGTTGTTGTTGATGTTGGAGGAGGAGAGCCTGTTGGATATTGTGCTGAGTGGAAATCAGTTGAAAGAGGTTTGGATCCAGAGAACAGAAAGGATTCGGTGTGGTCGCAGTCTGCTGATTAGGCAATAGACTCAAAGCAGACCCAAACAATGGTACCGACCCGGGTAGGGTACTCGATGCAACTCCGTTCCCGTTCCAATTTGACTGGTTTTGGTGATTATTCGAATTAGGTGTAGAAGGAGTCAAGGAACCGGAGCAAGAGTTCTGGCCATTTTGAGCAGTCACGAGTTGTTGAGGGAGCACACTTGGAGCCTAGGAAAAAAAAGTATAGCTATACCCCCACTGTCAATGAATTGGAAATTACTTTACTGACGCAACTCACCAAAAGGGACTGTCCATTAGATAAAACGCCGTTCATTCCGATGTTTTGCATCACTGTGCTATACCCGTTTAGAAGGGCAGCTATAGCATCGAGATTCGATGTGGTTTGTGATATCAACTGACCCCCGTTCTGTGATACTGACCCACTTAATTCGGGGACATTTACGGTGATCGGCTGGAGGACTTGCGGCGGGTTTATACCAGTCTGCTAAATTAACACAGAGAACGGTCATTGGGGTGAAATGCGCACAAATAGTCACTGTATAAAAGCTAAACATACAGCGAATTGCCCATCAAGAGCACTCTGATTCGCGGTTTGAGCATGTGTCCCGGGATCTGAATGAAGATATAAAAAGTCCATGTAAGATCTCAAAATGACTTTTAATCAAAGTATATATATATCACTAAGTTGATTTTCCACATGAACGGGACAAATAAAGATAATGCGTTGAAAAAATGTCAACTTACTTGATTCTCCATTAATTGGTGACGGCTTAACATTTTCAGAAGCAGAAGTATTCAGAGATTGGGATGTCTGAAGTTGGTTAACAGGAGCCGAGGGAATATTATTAATTCCACCTTGAACCATTTCAACAATATCAAATAAACAGAAAATATGGAACAGCCGGAGGAGACGCACCAAACCCAACACGCAATTACCAGGAGTGACTAACGTGCAGATGTGTCCGCCTTTAACTGGAGCTTTGATTGGCTTTAAAGTGATATTGAATGATGATTGGTTAAGCATTAAGCCGCATGTACTGTGATTGGTTGATAGACCCTTGAATATGATTGGTTTACTCTGCAGCTGATCAAGTGGCATTCATCCGAAGATTAATTAACACAATTCAGGCTTAAATTATATTGCTAAATGGAATCACCATTTCAATTTCACGAAATAGGTTATGTATTAAATCTAAATGCACTTTAAAATGAATATTAACTATTTTACTTGATAATCTATCAAATTTTTTACTTTTAAGAGAGCGTAACAAAGTTTATAGGATGGTTTGTCAATCCTTGCTGTCTGACAGTACCATAAATCATTTGAATTTTAATGGAACCATGAGTTTGGAGTACCATTGTAATGAAAGATAAATAAACAAAAGAAAACAAAAAAAATAAAGATCTTTTTTGAGATGACAAGTCCAAAATCTGGGTGGCCTAAAGTCTGCATTTGAGGACTGTGAGTCTGAAAAAAATTCAGTTATCAAACTTCTTTCTCCTGTGACATCTCTTAGGTCCAAAGGATATGAGAAAATCGCATGAAGATGCGGGCATTGAGAACAGAATTTTAATCGGTGATAAATGATCTCTTAATTGAATCTTAAATAGAAGCCCCTTTAAATTTTTGATTTATACGATTGTAAAATTTGGATTATTGTAAAAAAATAACGAAATTATTCTGTCTTATTTCAGCTGGTCAATTTGTATAGAAGCCAAAAGATGAAAAATAAAAATTAAGGCATCGCGATGTATTTGTATTCTTTTATTGAATTTCAATAAATAAAAATGAATTAAAAATCATGTTATTGGGCATACCTTTTCCTATTATTAACAATAATACAAAACATACCTTTGTCATTATGGGAAGCAAATAAAATCGGCAAACAGCAAAACAGATTTTGAAAACAGCATCTAGGTATCAAGGACTTACTTCATTCTTCAATTAATGAGTAGCTTCCATTGTAAAATTTTTCCAATACGTCAAAGAAGCCTGAGATTTCCAGTGTCTGTTAACCGGTAATTTTAATTACGAAAGCCTGTCCACTCTCTTTAAATAGCATTTTTCCCCAACGCCTAGGAAGGAAATAAAATATTCTTTATTGATATTGCGACTTTACGTATTTTAACATGGCAGACGGGGAAGAGATAAACCTTTAAGGTTAACAGAGCTCCCACGCTCATAAAAGAAAGTAATTTCAATATTTGACTTGGGGAGAGGGAGGGAGGGGGGGGGGGAAGCTGGCCTGGGGTCATGCGGCTGACCTTCAACATTACTAGATTTGACCCGGTAAAAAGTGATTTTGCAAACTCCGATATGGTAGACATGCACGCTGGTCACTCTGGTACCCAACTAATAAAACTAGAATGCGTATTGTTCAAAATTGCGTGATTTTCTAAATTTGGAAGAGAAGAAAATGTATTTAGCCAGAGAACGTTCACTGGTTTCAGTTATTGAGTGTGTTTTGTAATAAGCAATTAAATTCCTTAAAAATATTTCCTCTTAAAATTATCATGCGGAAGAGCGATTTCTCTAAAAACAATCTACTACTTACAAATAATAGTAGCACCAATATTACGCTTAACGGTGAATCAAAGCATATTAGAAAAGCTTTATATTAAATAAGCAAATTTAAACCTTGTTTCCGAAAGTTTATTTCAAAATGTATTAAAAGGTCATAAGTAAGTTTGATCAAAAAGACACTAATAAAACATCTCCATACCGAGTTGAAATATTTCGTCTTGGGTTTGAAACTTTTAACTTTATCCAAGTCTTTATTGGCTTTTTAGATTGGGTAATTAAAATTAGGAAAGCAGCGTATCTTTCATATAATTCCTTATCGATTAGCTTTCGATCATATTCATTATGTCTACTTGGCTGAAAGAATGAGGAAATATTTCGCATAAATGACTTGTGAGAGGCATAATTTACAAATAATCGAACCATTATCAAATGTACTTAAAAGGCCTCTGATTCATCATTGATCCCAATGACTTCAATAAGACTGTGCTGCTCAAAGCTGCCTATGGAAACAGAAAATCGCTCCGTCGGCCGGTAGGAAACATCAAGAACTAGAGTGCAGTACTTTTTTGGAGAAGTACAACAGACAGGAAATCGAGAGTGGTCTAATATCCTTTAAATTTTTGGGCTGTTCACTGGGCTAATTAGAATATGCATAATACTGATGTCCCATTAATAAATCGATTGGGTTTGTTGAAAAACTCCCATAGAGATGTAAGAAATGAAGGTCAAATAGAGCATGTTCGCTGGGGGTATAAGAAGAATAGTTTGGAACAGTTAAATCAAGGCTCTTATTTGAATAATAAAGAACAAGTTGGTAATGATAAAGGACTTAATGCCATGAGATCGAATGATTGTCTAAGATATTGAGCTTTTCATTCACCTGTTCGTCACAAACCAAAACGGTAGTAAATTTAGGGCTATTCAGCACATAGGTCAACAGATGATACTGTGACTATCAAAGTGGTGGGTGATGAAGATCCTTCGTGAAACCCGCTCCGAACCAAATGCTCAGGCGAGAGGTTAACATCGAAGCAAGCATGCACTAAAATACTGCAAAATTGATAAAATTTTCTTGAAACACCAATTACCACAATTGAGAAAATTTACACGTTTTCACATAAAGGATTGATGTAGGCAGCTGTCTTGTCTGCGTTTTGGATGCAGAATTCTACGTGGACATCCATCCAGTGGTTAATAGAACACCAACAACTAAGTAAAGGCTCTGAGACACATCGATGTTTGATGTCGACTCTCCGAAGGCCCTCGTAAGCAAACCGTCAGTAGAAATGCCGACATTCCACAGACCTACATCAATGAATACTCTAAAGCATTATGAAAGAAGTTTGAAATGAAGTTGGCCTGATAATTGCAGAGTCCAATGTTCAGCGTGGTTTCGAATCAGGACTTAGTCGAAGAACTTTCCAACATCGTTTACTTCACTACTCTAGCCATACTCTTTGGGCTTTCAGGTTTTGCCATATAAATAAAAAACTAATTAACGGTTAAATGAAGCAAATTAATTTTTAAGAGTAGATGTAAGGTGGTGAGCGGTGTGTATTGCGGATTTGATCCATATTTTGTTCAACCGGGAAGAGATGTTTTCGTACCTGCTCTAATGGTAACCTCAGCGCAATCTTCTTTACATTTTGTTTCACCCCATTTTATTCACTTTCTCATCTTACACAACCACAATCCCAATCGCATTCATCCTTTGTTCAGAATTTACTAGTTCTAAATAGGCAAAAACGGTACATAATGCCCAATTAACGAAAACAGTGTGGGACACTTCATCAATGACCAACAGAAATCCTGTTATGGAACACTACTCAAAGATAGTTAGCTATTAATGTTCACGCGAATTATGCTAGATTATCTGATAACTAATCGCTGTGCCTAAAACACACTTCGCTATCAATATACGTACTGAATAAACGTGCTCCGTGCTACACGTCTGTTTCCTTTATAACTGGGCTATAGCTTAGTTAGTTCTGGGAGTCTAGCTAGATGTTGAAGAATCTGCCATAGAGATTTCTGAGTCAGTCAGGCTTTAGTAAAGTAGTAATCCGCTACAGATACGCCAAAGGAGTCATCAATGAGTCGTTTTTTTGATATTGCTTCTTATGGCAAAGATAAGGCTGTTTTGCCACCTCACACATAGTGAAATTGTTGGGAGTCCATCAACTAATGAATGCCCATTGTTGGCTTTTAATGTGACATGAGAGTGATCCATTTGCAAAACGCTATAAATGAACTTCTTAAACAACTAAAAAATATGAGAGCAAAACACTTTTCTAAGACTTTCATTTAAGTGAGCATAAAAAGACTATTGAAATGAAGACCTGATTTGCAATTTAATTTTGATTCTTTTCCGGATCTAGTGAGCTAAAATAAACTTAACAACTATTTTGAAGACACGAATATTTAGGTATTCGCAATTTCGTCGCTTCCTGTTATTTATGTACAACCCGTTTAAACAAGATCGGACTTTTTGGATTAATTAAATAACCACCACTTTCTCTTGGAATAGAGCCATAGGGTTTCATTTAGGAGGATTTATAGGTAATTAAAGTTTCAGACATTGTGTACACATAATTATAACTATCTAATGATGGGTTAGGCTACTCCACAAATATACTAATATAAAAATGAAATTCTTGATTTTCTGTACCTTGAGTAATAAGCGGAAGACATTAGATATTTTTATTTGCTTGTTCAATTTATTTTTTTATTGAAAAATAAAAGGTAATTAAATTTTATCAAATTATTTCATAACCAATAATGACTTGGTCTTTCTAATTTAATAAAAATCTTTTTACAAAATTGTGATTCAATTCAATTTTACGAGGTGTAAACACGTGGAATTGTCTTCATTATATTATGGATGCATAGAAGTGCAAAGCTAAAGAAAAACAAATTTCGCGATTTTGGAAGATGTTCACACAGAACCAGATGTCAAGGTTGGCTATAGCGTTCCAAACATTTTGGTCTCTTATTTAACTCAAAGAAAATCAAAATAAGGCCCCAAAAGTCCTTGTTTGGCATTGCGCCTTGGGAACAGTGTTCCCGACGAGGAAAATATCTCGAAAGCATTCCATCATTTTTTTAAAAATATTCGCATACAGTCAGTTGTTCAGCATTTTACCCTTTCAAATAAAATTTTCCTGAGGTTTAGACTTGCACTTTAAAGTTAGAAAATTATATTGACGAGATATAAACCATTTCTCTTACAATAACAGCAATGAGAAGAGGGAAATGCATTTTAAAGGGTATTTGGAAGATGGGAAGGAGCAAAAACTGAGGAAAGTGGTTAAGATGTCGGAGATGAGAGATCGTTGGAGAGT